ATTGTTTCTTGCGAGTTAGTATGGACATTTGAGGGTCACAGAGGGCAAGTCACGGACATGTCTTTATGCACTGAGGTTCTACCTCGCATGCACAGGAGCAAGCAAGTTTAGGATGTGCACAAGCAGTTATGAACAAGGTAATGGCACCCGAACAGAGCAGTGGGAGGCTTGCGATTTCTGAAAAGGGCCTTCGGGTAGAAAATTTTTTTAACGTGTGGCGAAACGCGTATCAAACGCATTGTCCAAAAACGCACGCGCACAAATCCACTGAGGGCTGTGGCAATTATGTTGGAAGCGCGCGTTTTACCACTCGTTTGAGCGCGTGTTGCAAAAGGCCATTTCGAAAACATTAGGATCATTAGGACTTGGTGATTTCGGAATTGGTCAGCAATAGTATGCGTACTGGTGACCATTTGCTCTTCGAACACTATTATGCTTTGGGCATGGATGCTCTGGGGACCTTGTGCTCATGAAGCACGCGCGTTACTATGGTGTGGGTATGGATGCTCTGGTGACCGTATGCTCTTGGAACCTCGGACACATGCGGCAAAGCTTGGCTGTATGATGAACACGCTCTGTGGATCGCATGCAGTGAAGGCAGCAAATCCTGCCAAAGCAGAAGTAGCGGACTAGAGGAACTACGAAGTCAAGTCGTAAAAGTTACGGAAATTATCCAAAAAACGGCCCTCGACAGGGTATAGGCGCCGTGACCATAAACAAATCGGGGCCCGAGTTCACGAAGCTGTCCTGCTTAGTGTGGTCTCAGCGGTTTTCTTGGGTACTTGCAGACTTTGGGGAGTTTCTCAAATTTTCCCTACCCCAGACCCCTGATTAACAAACCCCCCCCTTAATAGGGATTGCAATAGGGATCCTGATATTTAGGCCCTTGAAAGGAGGGGGTTTATTAATCAGGGGTCTACATTAAACTTCTGAAAACCCCATGATCCCTTTGTAATCCTCCTACACCTATCCAGTGGATGCCTGCGGTACCCGCCCCCAACATGTTGAGTAGGGTTATAATGAGGGTTGTAGGGTTATATAGGGTATATATTGAGGTTATATAGGGATAGTGGAAAATAGAATGAAAACTACTACAGCCTACTAGGGTATATCATGTAAAGGCTCCACACCGCTTGGCATGTGCAGGAGAACGGGGTCTCATCTGTCGTAAATGTGTAAGTGTATGGAGCTAAGCAGAGACCAACGTAACAAATGACAGCTTGGCAAAGAGAATCGCCACAACATCCTTGCAAGAAGTAATCATCCTTTAAATTCCTACATATTCCCAGCATCCCTAAACATACCCCTGGAGAGTCCCCCTCTCATTTCTGAGTCTTAAATTACACTTACCCGCAGTAGCCCTACGGTATCCTTATGTTGACAACTCTTCAAACCACTGCTCAGCTCAGGATCTCTTTCCCGTACTGGGAGGCGGGTGTTGCCGATTTAGATTATGCAACCTTTAATTTTGATTCCATGAGATGCACCCCAACCCCAAGACCAAAGCTTTTTTTTTCCCCACCCTCGCTGTGGGGTTGTTAGATTTCAAAGTAGATGCTGTCCTCGCCCGACTGGAAGCTGA